CATATGTGAATATATGGTTCCATGAAAAAAAATGTAAATATCATAGGAAAATAAATGAAATTCCACATGATAATCCTTTAATCAAACTCTCAATAAAATCCCCGGAACCGTCATGTGAAAAGAATTTAAATGACTCAACTCCTGTCCGTTATTCCCATTCATATATTCCCTGTGGCTCCAGAAAAAATGAAAAATGATTATTGTTTTAATTCCCAAATGATCAACTACAAAAATATTTACCATCATGTACATCGCGCCATCGGGCATAATTGGTTTGAGTCCTGGGACCTTTTCTATCAGATCGTATATTAGTTTCGAATGATTCTGTAATCAAGGAAAAACAAATAATCGTATGATTATTAATTTATTTGAATTTTTCCCGGGGGAATATTTGCGGGGAAGAAGAGGACGAATAATCCGGTAACCGCGCATGATTTCAATTCGAAAAACTACCGGTAATTACCGCCCAAATTTTTTGGATTAGTCTTAATCTTCGGGGAAGGTGTGCGCCAAGGATGAACTTGATCGTAGAAATTGATTTCTCTCTCAGTGCGTTTACAGGTAAAAACGGGAGTAAAAATAAGTGGAAAAAAAATTCCTGTGGAGCTGTATGAAGGATGTTCATTTCAGATGAAAACACAAAAGAAAACATATTATGAATGCATGCATCGTATGATCTATTGAAAGAGTGAGTGCATTGGCATGAGTACACGTATTCACGCGTGTATTAAACAGACGTTGGATAATCATCTGCTTTCCGAGAGATGCTTGGCGAACTTCATGACAAAGGGTGAGTGAAATACATGGTGGTGGCTATTTATGGCTCAAGACTGAAGTGTACATAGGCACATGGCACATGGCACATGGCCACCAGAAACCGGACGAGCGTCAGATCCCGTAGTTCCTTCTGCCCGTTTCTGCTTTTTTTTTTATCCATTCAATTTATTATTCTCTCCCTCGCAATTTTTTACGCCTCATTTTTGCCCCGCGATTCTCTCATTTTTTAAGCATCTATTTTATAACGCTGTTTCGGATGAAACATCCATTCTAACCACTGGCGGTTATGAGAGTTTTCACGGGATTTTATGAAAATTTCATGAGAATGTATTCCGCGAGTAATTTTATACCAGACTATCATCCGATGAAATTTATTATCACATTGTAATATTAATAATTTATATTCATTACTTCATTTTGGTGATTGTAATTGGGATCGGAGGAATTATGGTGATTTTAATAGGCAACAGCCGCGGGGATTATTCAAATTGTTTTGGATTTATTATTTCTGTTTTTTTTTTGTTGAGGTGGGAAAATTACGCGAGTGCGTTTATCTTTATTTTGGCATCGTTAATTTAATTAAGTTGTTTGAAGTTGATGGGGAGTGCCGTGAATTATCAGAGGGATGAATGTAGAAATTAAAAATTGTAGTTTGCAATTTTTCATGAAACTGAAAACTGAAAAAGGTGAAAATTGGATTAATGCAATCGATGTCGCTGATTACGCGATGATTTATGACCTGTAATGAGTGTCTTGTGTAGTACTCACTTGCAAAATGGTGATGGTATCATCGTAGAATCTCTGAGGGGTGTTCTGAAGGATTTTTGGTAATGCCCCTTGAACAATTGTGTTGCTTCCGATGATTCGTTGACTGAGACGCTGAAGACCCTGGCGAATCTACGCAAAAAAATGAAAGAAATTCTAAGAAATCGCCCATTTTTAGACTGAGGAACGCGGAAAAATCAAATTTCCCACTGAGAACATGAAACAAGGAAGTTTTCACTTTGTGCAAGTTCAATCTAGTGGAAATCTCTCGGAATTGAGGGAAAAATTCGTATAAAGGAATAAACGACAAAGAATGATGAAGTCAGAGTATCAGTTTGAACAGTTTTAAATAAAAAATATAAATCTAATTGCTGTGACTTTATAAACACGCTACAGATTATTTCTATCATCATCTTAAATTCAGTTTATCAATTATCGATGATGAAAATGATGGAAAAATTGCTATCATTAGAAATTGAGACATCGTTCTACATAATCAATAGCAGCTAATTTTATACGTAACGCTAATCTGTAGTAAATTTGTATTAATTATTATGAAAACATTTTTAAAACGTTTTTAATATTCCGAGAGGCGAATATAGTGTTTAAAATATAAGTAGATGATAAAATACGGTCTTATAATTTGAATCTTCATTGTTTATTTATAATAACATGTACAATTGAAACGTCTGAGAGGAACTGAAATGTTGAATTACCATTTAAATTTCAGTGAAAAATGTGGCCAAGTGCTTTTATTCTCCCCTCCCAAAAAAAAAAAAATAAACCACCGCCCCCGAGATTTCAATCGTCCAACGTTAATTTTCTTTGCATAATAGAGTTGCGGAGTAACTCGGGTATTTTTTCACGATTAAACTCTCGTGCATTGGTCTCGAACACAGCCATTAAACTCCAAAAACTTCCGAGCGGTACCGAGAAATTTAAGTCTCTCTGATGAAGTACCAGAAACGAGAGGTGAATTTAATGAGAGAATTCAATTAGAACGACTCAACTAAGCAATCTCCGATATTATTCTTTTTGGATTTCTATTAAGTCCTTCGGATAACTCACCTCTTTATCGAGAATATTCTGTCGATCATGAATTATTATCCAGCCCATTCTCCACCCCGGTACGAGAAACCTGTCGCCAATTATTATAGTTATTATTATCAAAATAGTTCCCTTCAATAACAGATATGGTAAAACGAAAATAGTACTTGCCTCTTTGTTAAACCACTGCAGGAGAGAATGGGAACTTCATTCGATAGTGACGCTAACGAGTAGTAAGTTCTCCCTGGAAATACCTGAGGTAAAATAAATCCGTTTTTATCCATTAATATTTGCATTAACATTTTGCCGATAATGTTATCCCCGTATCCGCAATTTTATTATTATTCAGGAATAATCTCTGCAAGTCCACTGATTCTTATTTTTTTTAATGGCAATATCGATTGAAAAGATCGAACTAATAATTCAAATCTAAATAATGCCAAAATTTCGTAATTTTGGATTGAATCGCGTAATTAGTATAAAATTAATATGAAAAATAAATTCTTGGCGTGACTCACCATGTGTTCATAAATTTCATCAGCAATGATGGGAACATGAAACCTAGCTGCGACCTGGAGTATGTCAAGCAAATGATTGCGACTGAAAACCGAGCCACAAGGATTCGATGGATTATTTATAACAATAGCAGCAGTTTTTTCATCAATTTGCGATGCCATGTCATCAAGATCAATTTCCCAGGCGAGCTCCGGCTGAATGGAAAATTGATAGGATTTTGAGTTGGAAACCAACGGCAATTGGGCGCTTTGTGATGCCATCGTTTTGTTGGGAAAATTCGAGTTATTCACGTCGTAGGAGGTTTGTGGAATTGAACTGGTAAATTGGAAATTCTCGGTGAAGGGCACCGTATTGCATTTTGTTAACGTACCAGTAGGTTGTAGGATCTCACTGATACACCCAAACCCTCGGCCAATGTTCGGTATATTGAAAAACCCGGTCTAGGTATCAGGATGTTCTGACCCTCTCGCGCCAGAACCGTGATGCATAAATCCAAGGCGCAGGAACATCCGCTACATAATATGACGTCCTGGAGAAAAGGAGATACGTTTTATCATGCGTTTGGTGAAGAGTGACTATGAAATTCTCAAGGATTCTCTGTGACATTCCGCTACAGTACGTCATTTTTCCCTCCTTCAGCTTTTTTCATTTTACTCATTCTTATCATATCCAAGAAAATTATTCTCCCTTAAAAAAAAAGCCTTTATCAAAAATCTATTTCACCTGAGGATCCACATTGATGAATTCATTCGAACTATATGTCGCAACTGCCTCCCGTGCCTCCATATACCCTAAAAAACAAATCCATCATTAAAATCCTCCGCTTCAATTCAGAAGACTTCCCCAAATCAAAATTTCTCCCATTCTGAATTGAAAAAAATTCCTAACAATTCTCGACGCGATGTATTTTTTATTTAATACTATAAATTAGTCGACTCATTTAATCAATACTAACGATCCATAATGATTATATTCACACATAATTATAATTATAGTCCCATATTATTCAAATATAAAGACAATATCGCGAGCTCTTCAAAGTATATGTTATCTCTAATTCGGAGAAGTTACAATTTTTATCTTGGCCTGATAGATACCCCAATAAAAGGATTAGTGATAACTAGTCCTGATGGAGCAATGGTCTTACCTGTGCTGGGTGCATATCCATTATAAGCCTGTGACGCAACACTCTCTTGCACAGCTTCAATAATCTCCTTGGCGGGTTTCAAGTTGCCGAATATCGTGGGATCACCTGCGAATAATTAATATAACTACAACGGAATCAAGCTCATCCCCAATTTAGCGAAGGAAATTGAACGCTGCAAATTTTTATAAAACTAATTAACTAAAAATGATGGATTTTACAGGGTCTCGCCAATCGATCGTAGGATATTGGATGAGCCGAGACTATTCTCCACTATATAACGATATCACCTGGAGTCTTACGAGTTATTGGCTATATAAGTTGGAATTGCGGAAGGGTTTATGGAGAGACTCACCGATGGATAGTGCTATGAGCTCCTTATTAGGATTCGGCTCGACCACGATGTTCTCGACGATGGATCTAATGGGATTGTGGGTCCTTCTGGCGATATCTGAGGCACGAATATCCCACCGGTCACGAGAAGTTGTCACAATGTTCGACATTTTTTTTTATATAAATCGTATTCTTCAATATTTATTTTCTCCCCTGATATCTCTCCTCAAAAATTTGAACACAGATTCCAGAGACAGAAGAAAAAACTTTTCCTGATAATTGGAATTATCTTGGCTTTTGAATTTTGAACACAACTCGGGCTACGATCGTTTTTCAATAACTAAAGTGCTGCCAGGATGCGCGAACACTTGAAATGGAAAAACGAGGGGACAGGGGACGTATCACGGACCGGTTCCATTGGTCGGTCAGTTTCCACACCTTCTTTTTAATAATTAATTAGAAATTCGAAAATACTAGCGTGGCCTCGATCAACAAAATCTTTGTAATCAACGGGTTTTACTGGTGTTGTTCGTCTATCGGTAAACACCTGGTGATTTAGCGTTCTGATGAATTAATAAAAATTAATCAATTTTTCATGTCACGATCTCAGAAGTAATTTAATTTCGATGTTATCCATTTAGTTTTAAATAATATCCACTACTCAGGAAATTATTGATATATTAATTATTCTTTTATTAAAATTTAATTTATAATATACAATACCCAAGAAATTATTGTTCCCATATTGTTGTCTTATGTTATCACACGCTTTTTTCATCTCCGTTGTATTTTCAGGATCTCAATACTTAAGCAATTATATCCTATCTATTTCTATCGAAACTTTTATCGAACCATTTTATTTTAGAAATCATT